TTATGAATGCATTTATGAATTTATGTAGGCAAATACGTCGTAGCTATGTGTAGATGTTTTGGATTCGAATTACTTCATGATGAAGAATTCTATGCCTAAAAATACTAGGTGAAAGAATGAATTAAAATATACATACATCAATTCACTCTTTCTCCCTTGCCAACATTCAATATCATCGTTACTCATTATACATAATATACATATATACAAATGCACACACAAACATACCTATATATATACATATATTATTATTATTTTTATTATTATATCCGCAAGCTATACATATACGTATATATATCTACGTTAGCCTATTATATATAATATAATACAAATATATAAAATAGTGGTTAGCCGTATAAATAATCAATATTTCTATTGGCTAATCCTATAATAATATCACAACAAAATAAACATATCATTAGTAAACTTATTTATATAAAATTGATGTTTTTTAGGAAAAAACAATATCAAAATATAAAATATATGTAAGCATTAAAAATTAAATGTCTAAATTAAATTAAATATCATATAAATATGTGATATTTAATTATGCACATGTTAATATTTGTACAATAAATATAAAAAATTTATACATAAAATTGTTTAAAATAGAAGATATTGTACAAATATTACGTGCATAAATAGAGTTATAATAAATTTGACAGAAAAATAAATTAATCCCGTCAATAAAAGAAATATTTTAATTAATATCTTACGAGAAAGGAAATGATATAAAGATCTTAACGAGAAATGAAAGCGTACAATCAAATCCTTCAAGAATGGAAAATGACGTATTATGAAAAATGAAGAATTATAAAAATTTTCCATTAGCCAATCGAGACACGCCACATGGCATCATTCGAAAAAGGAAGTCGAGGCCACCCCTCCCCTATAAATAGGAGGCTTGGCCTATTCATTTAAACACCGGAGTTGATTTGAAGACTTGAGCAAGGGTAAGTATCTCTAAACTCTCAATGCAATATTCTTCATGTCCTTCGAAGCGTTCTTTGTTGAAAAGTCATTAATTTGGACCAATGATCTAAAATTAGTTGATGGATCGATCAAGTTAATATTTTTCGTCATATGCCCAAGCCGGAGGAAAGATAAAAACTCCAAAAGCTGTTGAAGAATCCGTCAAAGCCAAGTAAGAGCCTCCAAAATTCATCCTAAAGCTTCAAAACGTTTGTCGCGTTATTCACCAAATAATCAAACCGGTTCTCTTTGATCCAAAATTTAAAGGAATACACCGCCCAAAAGCGTTATAGAGTGCCAAATTTACTTATCAAATATCAAAGTCCCAAATCCACCAAAAGGAGTCTCCAAATCCAAAGGAGTCGACGGTCAAATTTGCCCACACGGAGACCAAAATTTTTCAAAGTCCGACAAAGCCAAGTCGAAGACCAAATCCCTTCGGACCAAAGAAGCTATCCTAATCCAAATTGAAAAAATGAATCGATCGAAAAGAGAATCAAAGAATTCAAATAGATAATAATATCCGCATTATATATAATTTATAGAAAATTTTGTATTTACCAAATTAAACTTTTTTTTTGTCTACAATATAGATAAAAAGTTAATATAAATATAGATAAAAAATGAATTAAAAAATTATTTAATTTCATGTTGCGCAAATTAAGAATTAGCACCTTATCCAAGTTTAAAAAATAAATATAGATTTAAAAATAAATATAGATTTGAACAACAGAGGAGTACTTTACAATAAAAATAGAATAAGATATATTTTTGATCAATTCTATTCACAGTGTCAATTTTAATTCTATTTTATTAAAGTGATTTTTCAATCCTTTTTATTTTTATTTTTGTTAATTTAGTCATTTTATTTTTAAAATGATAATATTAATCTTTATCGATTAATATAGTTCAGATTTTATTCATATTTATCAATTTTTTTAAAAAATAGAGTAATAAATATATTTATTATAGGTATTATCACCCAAATTTCTCTTCCTAAAAAATCATTTCACAAAAGTAACTCTTTTTATAATACCTATCAACAAACAATATATATCACCACATTAAGTATCATACTTTTATCGAGGGTAAATTATATAACACTTCTAGTAAAATGCATAAAACATTCCATGTTTTATTTATTGCATGAAACCCTTTGTGTTAATATAAAGTTTGTAAGAAACACCTTTATTGTTCAAACTGATGTTTGATTCTAAATAAATATTTAAATTACGCAAATTTTATACTGATAAAAAACGTAAAATATTTTTTGATAATTTTTTTGAATAAAATAAATAAATAATTAATTAATTAATCCTTTCATTTTATAATTTTTTGGAGACAAATTGTTATATTATTTTTATTGAAACTATAAAATTAAATGATTTAATCAATTATATATTATTTATTTTATTAAAAAATTTATTTAAATTATTTTACACTTTTTATTTGTATAAAACTTGTATAATTTATATTAGAACCAAATATCAGCTTTGGTTTCACACAATACAAAAAATATGGATGTTTTATACATTTTTACTAAAACGAGTGGGTGTTATATAATTTACCCAAATAAAAAAACAAAGAAAAAAAAAGAACTCTTTATTTTTTCATAAGCTAACAAGTTAATTAAAACAAACAACTTTCAGCTATGCTATTTAAACAAATTTTTTTTCTTAATTTGGTATTAAGTTTGTTTATAAACGGCTTATCTCAAAGTTAATATTTAAATAATATATATTGAGATATTTGGAAAAAATAATATAAATTAATTTAAATAATAAATAAAAATAAAATTTTCCAATGAAAATATATCATACACTATCTTGGTCGTTAAAAAAAAGCTCAAAATTTTCAGCACAAATTTTAATGTGGTTTATATTTTTTTTTTACCGTTTATCTTTTATGGTAAATAATAATAATAATAATAGTATAATTTTTAATTAAAAATAAAAATAATCATATTTTTAAATGTTAGAAAAAAAAAAAAAAAAGAGGTGATCATAGTCTTAGGTCACCGAATTAATAATCATATTTTTGTTTGGAGAATTTTCCCCTAATTTTATTATTCATTCAATTTTTTTTTTCAAAAATATTAAATTAAACACCTATTTTCTATTTTTTATATTATACTAAAAATCAATTTTACATTTAAATCATTACATCAACACCTATTTATATCACATCATACAACTATTAACATTGAAAATTTTTACTATTCAAATCTCACTCCAAAATCCAAACAAACACCCTTGATAATTTTTAAAGCAAATTGATACATATTTGACGGACAATCAAATAAATAAAAACAATTAAATTTCTCTTGGAATATTATCTAACACCCGTCTATAACACATAGTTTGGTCTAGTATTTAATAATAGAGTAAACAGATATTTGATTATTTCAATATTATTATTATTATTATTATTATTATTATTTTTTATTACACGGAAATTCGCAGCCGCGATTTGTAAGACTGCACTTTGGGTAAATTTTCGATTAAACCTAATACCAAACTAGGCCCAAGAGAAGTCATATTTCAATATTATTTTTAGCCTAATAAATGATATATTGTTAATATATATTCCCCCGTCTCAAATACAATATTTCTATAATATATATTCCCCCGTCTCAAATACAATATTTCTATTTATCATTTTTGTTCGTTCCAAAACAATAATCATATTTCCATAAATAATTATATCACTATAAAATTATCCTTACTTTTTTATTATTATTATACAATTGCCACTACTTTTTACACTAATACACTCACAAGGGCAAAAAAGTCTTTTATCCGTACTTTTTACACACTACTAATATAATATCAATATTTCTTAAATTTCTAGCCAAACACAACTCATACTATAGTTTTGGGACGGAGGGAGTAGTATATTACTAATTTATTATAAACTAGTTATTAAAAAATATTACTCCCTTTGTCCAGCCAGAAAGTATACATATTTCTATTTTGGGACGTCCAATTACAAAGTAAATATTTTATTAAATACCTTACTTTTTTCCATAAATATCCTTATTTTACATCACATCGTTACTTTTATACTAAAAAACAAAGGACAAAAATATCATTTTACTATTTTTAACTACCCACTATAATTAAAATACTATTATTTCTTAAACAACGCGCTAAAAATAAATGTTTACTTTGTGTAGAACGAGGGAATATAATTTATTCGACATATATCTATTCTATTTTATGTATATTTATCATGAAAATAATTATAATTATTTTATTATTTTTTGGCATATATATAATAAAATAATATAATAGTAAGTTTTGTAGCATATTATAGATAGTTTTTTTAAAAAATAAAACAGACTAAAAATATATTTTATCCTTAAAAATATTTATTTTTTTTTTTTTTTGAGATTTTTCAAGAATTTTACAATTCAATTAATTTTTTTCAAAAAATATTAAATTAATTATTTTTCACTTTTAATTTTTTATAATACATTCACAATTAATTTTTAGTTAAAAATTAAATATATATATATATATATATATTTATATCCTATCTAACAATTATATTTAAATTAAAACTTTTACTATTTAAATATTAAGTCGATGTATCCGAACATACACTTTAAATTTTTACATCCTAATTCTAATCCTAATCCAAAATTCAATTCCAAACCTCCAAATAAATATATAAAATTTTAAAGGGTTTAAAAATAAATTGACGTGAATTTCGCACATGGCCTCTTTTAAAGCCGAAGTATACCGAACTGACTCTTAAAACTGACATAACCACCATTACCATTACCATTAGGGGTGTGTTTGTTTCAAGGATTTTGGTGGATTTCCACTATTCATCCAATTTTTTTCCCCCAAAAACATCAAATCAAACACCTATTTTTCATTTTTTATATTATATTAAAAATCAATTTTACATTCAAAACATCACATCAAACCCTATTTATATCACATCATACAACTATTCAAATTCAAAATTTTTACTATTCAAATCCCAACTCAAAATCCAAACCCCCAAACAAACACACCCCTAGAAGTATTTACCAAATAAATAAAACTACTCTTCTTGTTATTCAATTCAACTTCGAATCAGACTCAATATCGACACTAACTCTAATAAGTCCAACACACTCTGATGAAATCAAATGTTGAATCGAACGGAAATTGGTAATCGTTGGGGATCGGCTGAACTTTATTCGCATTTTTCTTCGTTCTTTGTTGTCCATTCGCGCTCTTTGCAGGGTCTATAGTTTTCGCTACAAGTTTCGATTCGCGTCGGCGGGAAACTTTATTTCGTATAAATCGAGCTGAGGTATGTTGTAAAATTTGATGTCATACCGCGGTATTGGGATAATTTTTCTGTTTTAGATCGATTATTCAATATCATACTGTTATCTATCTGATTTCTGAACAGGTTGTGGAGTTTAATCAATTTAGGCTTTTGATTGGGTGGTTATCTGTATAGACAATCGTTAATTTTTTCTGTTTTAGATCTATTACTCGATATCATACTTTTATCTATCTATCTATCTATCTATCTATCTATCTGATTTCTGAATAGGTTGTGGAGTTTAATCAATTTAGGGGATTGAATAGTTAATTAGTGTTTTGATCTGTATAGTTAACCCTTTTCAGGTTCTGTAGTTATTTGTGTTTGTCTGTAAAAACTTACGAGGATGGATTGTGGCGTCGATAGGATTAGCGATCTTCCCATTGATATTATAAACAAAATTCAAGTGTGTATGCCTTTGCATGATGCTGTGAGGACGAGCATACTGTCATGGGAATGGAGATATCATTGGGTTACTATGCCACACCTTGTTTTTGATAAAAATATGAGAGGAAACCATGAATTCATAGTGGATCGAACTTTGTTGCTTCACAAAGGAACCATTACCAAATTCTCAATCATGAAATGTTTGATCAGAAGCAGTTTGGCTTTTATCCGCTGGCTATTTGTCTTATCAGACCATCGAATCGATACCCTTGTGCTTGTATTTCCCATCCTGAACTATATACAACCAATCAAAATTCATCTCATTAGTTTTGATCACCTCAAACATTTGCACATTGAAGATGAATGTCAAATCGAGCTTTCGCCTCTGTTTAGAGGATTTAAAAGCCTTGTTCGACTGGAGATTATCAATGTCAATATTAAACTTCAAAACTTGGAAGTGCTTCTTGCTAAATGTCCGGTGATCAACTACTTGAAGTTGAGGGTGCGGTTTAACTTCAGCCCTTTTTTTTTTTTTTAATTAATGTCTCGATTTTTCTTGGATCTGAGTTTATTTCTAATCGTTTTCCTCTTGTGTGGTTTTATTTAAGTTCTCTGTTGATCATATACATGGGACGATGGAAGAACTTCCAAATAAGCTCAATTCTCTCACTGTTCTACAACTCGGCGAACTCGACTTTCAATGTCTGGAAAGTGTCAAAGTTCTTATGAGTTTGATTAAAAGCTTCCCCAATTTGCAGTCTCTTAAAATTGGTGTTAGTCACTTGATTTGCTGCATTCTTCAATTTTTGACGCGTTTACATTTCTTTACATCAACTCATTTGTTAACACATTCACATTTAATCCTTTCTTTTTTTCTAGAGCATCTCCAATGTTCATGCCAACCGTGTTACCAACTATCTGAAGCAACAACGAACTTTAAATGTTCCTCTCAAGTGTCTTGAATATGTGAAGATCCGCATCATGATGAATTATGCTGCGGATGTGGAATTTGTGAAGAATCTTTTGATGTGGACAACTGTGCTTAAGAAAGTAGAACTAGATTGTTTTATAGGCTATCGTAATCTTGATGTAAGAGGTATGTTGGAAGAGATTGCGAGCTTCCAACGAGCTTTTTCTTCATCTAGAGCACAAATTATAGTTGACAACGGACGCAATTGGTTTGAATTCTGGAAAGACTAATGTTGTTTGTGAAAATTGCTGGACAGGCAATAATCTGGATTAGTGCAATGCGGGGTGGGTAGTATATACTAGATAGAACATGTGAAGGAGGTCCTCAGACAATATTATATGTTGTGGGTATGCCTCATTTTTGTCGAAAATTCTCTCTAGTGTTCCCTGTTATATGATAAGAAGAAGATGATACATACATAATGCATTAAGTGAGAAATTTGTATAGCTCGTGGCCTGGCCTTTGCTGTGATCATGTTTTTGCAATCATGTGAAGTTAGCACATATTAGAGCAATTGCAATGGCTTTAATATAAACAGCTTCTTTGTCAGATTAGAAGCTTTATTTCAGGACATTTCAAAAAATACAATGCAATGATTTATATTTTGATTGAAAAAAAAATAAAAAAATTTGATCGTGCTTGGTGCGGACGAATCCCAATTCAGCCTATGCATTTACTTTCCTTACCTCTATCTCTCTCTTCTTTTTTTTTTTTTTTTTTTTTCTCTCCACATTCTTACTTTCTTTTATCCTCTTTTTACTCTCTCTCCTCGTTGTGTCTCCTTTTCTTTCTTTCTCTCTTTTCTTTTTTTTTTTCTCTTTCAAATATAGCTGTTGTTCAATTTATCTCTCTTTACCTATAAAAATATAGAATATTTCTACTATTTCAATTTTTTTTTTCAAAGCAGATTCAATTTTCATTTATGAAAAAACAACAAATTAATCAACAACAATTATAAATCATAGAAAGATAAGCAAGTGCAATCAGCCCTGAAAAGAACCATACTAGGGAAGAGCACACAAACAAGTTCGAATTTGATCATGAAAAACAGATTATCGAAAAAAAAGAACATCAGACAATAAATTGATGTAAATAATTATTTAATAATTTTATTTAAATAATGAAATCATATTTCACATAAATATATAAAAGAGCACGAATTACAAATAAATAAATTACATACTTAACGTAATAAAAACACACAAAAGTTTTCTATTAAAACCTCTATTGCATAAATATAAACAAAACAACAAAGTAATATGGCTAGAAAATCACACAAGTTACAACAAAAAAAGGTACAACAAATACTTTAAATATATATATAATAAAATAAATATAAACCCTAAATACCCTAAAAGTTATACGTTAGCGGCATTATTTTCTTTTATGTGTCAGTATAAATTAATCATTATATTTTTATAATTATTTAAAAATTTTATTAAAATAATAATATTATATTTCATATAAATATATAAAAAGCACATATTATAAATAAATAAATAAAACAACAACTTTATATACCTAAAAAATCACACCCACTACAACAAAAAAAAATACAACAATTATTTTAAAATATATATAATAAAATATAAATCTGAAAATAGTAAAACTTATCTATTGGCCGTATTTTTTTTATATGTCACTAAAAAGTAATAATTATTTTTTATAATTATTTAATAATTTTATTTAAATAATAATATCATATTTTATATAAATAGCACAAATTACAAATAAATAAATAACATACCTGACGTAGTAAAAGTATACACATGTTTTCAATTAAAACTTCTATTACACAAATATACAAGAAAAACAAGTTCATATAGGTAGAAAATGACATACATTGCAACAAAAAAGCACACCAAATATATATTTAAAAATATATCTGTTGATGTAATACACGGAGGAACTTCTGTCTGAAAATCAGGATCTGAAATCTTTGCCCATTTTGGCTCTTCTATAAAATCATACACCAGACTTGCGCACAGGGTTCTTCTTCAAACCAATTAATTCATGTCATTCGGCAGGGAACTCGTGGCCCTAGTCGAGACTTGGCAGACCTTGAATCTATTTCCAGCATTTCGTCTCTGTTATCAGTTTCAGGTTGAGTTGTCAGAGATTCCAAACGAAATTCCTCCAGAGATGGATTAATGTTAATCCGCTCACAATACTGACATCTGAAACCTTCAATTCTCTCATCTGGTACTCCTTTACCGTTCCTATGTATGGACCGACCTCTTTCAGAAAACTCAGAGACACCTTGCAAATACTTCGGCTGCCTTGATGAGGAGACCAATCTGGACCGACCTCCTTCTAGATAATCAGCAGCGCCTCGCATATCATTCGGCTGCTTTGACGAGGCGACCTTTATGGACCGACCTCCCTTCGGATTATCAGTAGCGCCTCGCATGTCATTCGGCTGCTTTCATGAGGCGATCCATATGGACCGACCTCCCTCCGGATTATTAGCAGCGCCTCGCATGTCATTCGGCTGCTTTGATGAGGCGACCCATATGGACCGACCTCCCTTTAGATTATTGGTAGCAACTGGTACATCATTCGGCTGCTCAAATGAAATGATCCTTATGGACCGACCTCCTTCGGAGAATCAACAGCGCTTAGCATATCATTCGGCTGCTTTGATGAAGAGAACTTATCCCTGTACCACGCAGCATACCTGCGCTTGGCATTTCGTATTTGAGTACGATTCATACCCGGAAAACGAGGATCCACATCAATTGGTAAAGGTTTTTTATTTGGAGCCCATTTGCTCCCGACCGAGCCAGTTCTTCTAGTCGGGTGGTTTCGAACCAAAACTTGCTCATTTAACTCCACATTAAAAGAACCATCTTGATTATCCCATTTTTCGGCCACTATTTTTTCACAAACCTTGAGTTTCTCTTCTGGTCGGCCACTGTTTGATGCGTTTCCTTTTCCCGATCTGGAACTTGATTGTATACTAACCATTGTTGTGGTTACTTTTGGAAAAGGTTGTTGCTCTACACCCAAAGTGATATATTTGAGCCGACGTGCCTTAATGGCCTTTTGGATCTTATTTCGAAAATGAGTACATTGACTTGTATTGTGTGTGAAAGAGTTATGCCACTTACAATATGGTCTTCCTTTGATTTCTTCCTTAATAGCCAACCTTTGCCCTTTTGGAATTCAAATCTGGCCGTCAGTTAGCAAAATATCAAAAATTTTATCAGCCTTTGAATTATCAAATGTAGGTTGCTCTCTTCCTTCAGTTCCTGGTACTGGTTTTAATTTAGAGCACACATAAGGCTTTCCTGAAATGATTTCGGCCGCCATTTCTTATGTCTGATCAAAATCAAAATTGTATGCTTCTGTTTCCATACTTGCCATATGTTGAACTTTATTACGTCTGAAATTCTGATCCTTTTCTGTAAAAAGAGACTCCAAACATCCAGCCTTGGCAGCGAGACTTGCCAAATCTTCCACATCATGAGCAGTGAGTGCTTCTCTTAGGCGGCCATGCATATTTCTGACCACTAAATTGGTCATTTTTTTTTCATTGATTATAGTAGGACAATGTTCTTTCATCAATCGCACCCTTTCAATAAACTATGAGGCTGACTCTTCTGGATATTGCTTCAATTCCAATAAATCGGTAAGAGAAATAGTTGGTAAAGGATTGAAGAATCTAGCATGGAACGCCATTTCCAAACCTTCCTAAGTTTGTATTTATCCAGGTGGCAGATTTACAAACCATGAAAAAGCTATTCTGGTAAGAGATAATCCAAATAATTGCAGTTTATAAAAAGGATTATTTCCAATTTCCCCCAACTGTGCTGTAAAACGACTCACGTGCTCTATGGTGGAGCATCCGTCTTCCCCTAAAAAAACATGGAAATTAGGTGGTCGATAATTCCTTGGAAGTGGATAGTCGTTAATGATCCTTTCGGGGAAAGGTCTTTGATAAGCAGGACGGTTGGCCATCTGAGGATTCAAACCGAAATGTACCCTCAACACTTGTGCAATCTCTTCAGGATCCACACGGGGGTTTTGATGACCAGGGATAAAGATAGGATCCTGAATATGTGCTCCTTGCCTCTCTTCCCTGACAACGTTTGGCTGTAGATTGTCAACTCTTGGTCCCAAAGGAATATTATTAGGGAAAGTTAGAGGAGTTTTTCCCCTATCTGTTCGGTTGAACGTTGTGGCACTTGGCAATGTACTGTCAACATATGATGGCCCTGCGTAATTTGCTTGCATTCTTGATGGTGATATTCCTGGCGGCGTCTGAGTGGGTTGAAGAGTAACCCTTGATAAAACTTGATCTAACATGTTCTGCATGAGATTCTATTGCTCGCGCAACATATTCTACATAGCCGAAGTTTGCTGATTGTTCAATTGTTGAACATAAGACAACCAATCGGTAGGTGGTTGGGGAATCTCCCCTGGATTTGGCATGACAGGTGGTGAAATATTTTCTCCCATCGGTGCTGATGATGATTGAGGTTGTGAACCTGCCATACTGATTTTTCTGATGATTCGGCCGGACCTCAGTCGTATGAAATTCTCTGTTGATGTAGGATCAGCAATCTTGTCTTTCTCCCACTGTGGTCGCCAATTTTTTGATGTATTTTTTTCAAAAATAAAAAAGTAAAATCCGAAAATAGGAAATTATCTTCGAATTTGATATAATTAGTGCCTGAGATTAGGAATCTCTAAACACTATACGGTACAAAAATAAAATGAAAAATAAAAGACTGAAAATTAAAGGATGATCCATGAATCACTGAATTTGTTGTCGTTTGAAGATGATTGAAGATCCCCTGCCAGTTGCTGACCCCGATCCTTAAATATTCCTCAGAAACAGTACCTGGAACCGTCGCCCGAACGGTTACAACGCCTCCTCTCAACCGTCTACTAATTCTTCTCTTGCTAACACGTGTTCTCAACCGTCTTACCAACCGCGTCATCCAGCTAACTAAACTACGGCTCTCACTCGCTCTCCACAGCATCTGACCTCCACAGCAACCAATTTACTCGTCCCCCTGCAGACCAACCGACCTGTTTGTCCGACCACGGACCTTCCGACTTGCTTATCCGACTACAAACCAACCGACTTGCCCGTCCAACCGCAGACCTTCCGACTTACCTATCCGACCGCGAACCAACCGACCTGCCTATCCGACCACAAACCAACCGATCTGCCCGTCCGACTGCGGACCTTCCGACTTACTTATCCGACCGCGGACCTTCCGACTCACTTATCCAACTGCGAACCATCCGACCTGCGGACTAACCGACCTGCGGACCATCCGACCTGTGGACTAACCGACCTGCGGACCGTCCGACCTGTGGACTAACCGACCTGCGGACCGTCCGACCCACATCCGACCCACCTATTTCCTTAGAAATACGTCCAGTCACCCGATTATCTTGAAATACCCCTTAATTAGTCCAACAGACCCATTTATAAGCCCACATCTTCATATAACTTGGGTCTTTTAACCTAA